CAAACAGAAATATGGCTGCAACAAAAGACACGATCGCCCATGGATTCCTGAAGTAAGTTTCAATGAGATTAGCTCTCCACTTGTTCCATGGCTTCTTGCAATATCTACACACACTCACTTGCACTATCTCCAAGCTTCCTCCACGATCCACAGCAAGATCTCTAGATAGTGAATTAAAAAGCTCCGCCACAGCTTTGTCACTTCCAAGAGCATTCTGTACAATCCCTTTCTGTTCCAAAATCACTACATCAACATGGTTATCGATGATGTTATCCATGAAGAACACGAACGAAGAAACCTCGTTGCCTGCTCCAACATGCATGCGTTCAAATGCTATGAGGTTCAGCAACATGGTCTCGGTGCAGTCGTCGACGATGATTGAAGGAATTCTGAGGATTCCGCCGTTGAAGGAGACATCTTTGAGGCTGTGGCTTTCGCTTGGTTTGAAGGTGATGCCAGCTTCTCGAAGCTCTCTTGCGGAGGGAATGATGATTTCGTCTTCTTGGTGTTTGCTTGATTTGATTTGATTGGGAATGATTGTGGGGTGTGTTGGTTCATGTTGAAAGAGGGATTTTCTGTAGAGATCTAAGATGTGTAAGCATTTGCCGAAGCTTTTGAAGATTCGAGTGTCAGGGGAAAAGAACTTGAGGACGAGCTTGTTCAAGAACTCTGGATCCTATAGTAATATTGATGAGGTGCCATGTGTTCAATCAGAAAAACAAACAAACAAAATGAAAATGAAGAGATGATATATAAATAAATTAATACAAAATTTTATCTTTACACAAAGTGTCATTTTAATCTTTTAATTTTATCCTGTGTCATTTCGGTCATCTAACATTAATATTGTTAGTTTTGTTAACAAAAAATGTTGATATCAAATTTTAAATGATGACAAAATATTTTCAAATATAGACACGTCAAGGTTAATTTTTTAAATGACAGTGATTAGGATTTAAATGAGAGTGATTAGGAAAAAAATTCATCATATGAGACTAATGGTGTTATAAAATTAAAGGATCAATTGAAACCATGTATAAATTTAGAGTTCCATCAATATGATTTTCGCCAATAATTAATTTATTTATTTTAACAAAAGGTGCTGATATAATTGCTTTCAACAACTATATATGGAGTCACGTGAATTACTTCTCAACTAGTTGATTTTCACGATAAAACTACTTGTCAATTAAGTCTTATGTTGCTAGTTATAAAATGTTGCAGCAGAAGAGTTTTGAGTGACGAAACTGGTTAAGTCAACTGACATTACTAAAATCAATTGTCTCCTTCCATGATGAAAAAAAATTCAAAATTTTCAGCCGTTTATAAATGCCAACTTCTAATTATATTAATAAACAAGACTGAAACACATGAGAAAATTAAAGTCCAGGAGTAATTAAATACCTGGTTTTTGTTTCCCTCAAATTCTATCAGTTTGTCAAGAACCATCATGGGGATCTGATTCTCAAGCATAAGCATATCACGTTTGATATAAGGTGTGACATACAGTCTTCCATGGCAACTGAAAATAGGATCATTGTCTGCATAATCACCAGCAGCATTATCACAAGCTGCAAATCTCAGAACTTCAAGCATGAAACACCCGTCAAGAATCAGCATCTTCAAGAAACTATGATTATTCTCGTTCTTGCTCTTCCATTGATCATCAAGTGGCCTGTAACAGTCCCTCAAGTCCTCTTCCTCTTCTGCCATGCTTTGTATCAGCAACTCCAATGGCTTCCCATTACACCTCCTCAGAAAGTGAACCAGAGCTCGATGCTTGTGGTCTTCCATGGCTAACAGATGCTTCTTCATGTGGTGGTACGGACCAAACGACACCGTCAGGGGATTGTATGCCTTCTTGTTCAGGTCTGCAACACGGGGTGGTGTTTCGTATATGCAGTGCTTCTTCCATTTCTGAATCTCCATTGCTGAAGCTTCATGGTTCTTGAGCTTCTCGTTTATTTGAACCACCCACCGATGATCCGTTTCAAATTCCATGCATGTACGTGTTTGATAGCACTGTTTCTGCGTCTTCCTTGAAGCTCTTGATATGTGTTTATAGTGATCTCATGCATGCGAAGAATACGAAACTAAACTTGCATCCTACTCTTGAAGAAAATGATTAATCTAATGTAATCATGGTTCATTAGTCTAGTTTATCATGTCCTAAAATTCCTTTCGTGCCCAATGTTTTTTGTTAATTAATTGGATTCATATGGCAGCTGTTTTCTTTGCCTTAAGATGAAGATAAGAAAAAGTTTACCAGCCGAAAGGCCATATTTAGTATTTTATATACCAACTTTTTTTCTTCTATATTGTGATATTCCAAACCCCTAAACAGTTAAAGTTCATCAGTATTGTTTTTGGTATATGATAAAGAAGAATAGTGTCCATGCTTGATCATTATAGTTTTATTATCAAACAACACAAAAATAAAAATAAATAAATAAATAAATAGTGAACTGTGAAGCCTCAGTCAACTAGAAATAAACATGAAGGTAAATTGTTCAGCCAGAAATTCAGAATTTTACTTGATCCTTATTGACTTCCAGAAATGTACAGCAGCACTAGAAAGAAAATTAACAAGTAACCTGAAGCATTGTGACTATTTATACAGAAATGACAAATGCATATTATATAGATCAGATTATGCACCTTCTGGCCCCCCAAAAAAAATGTCAACTTTGTCAATTCCTCATTCAACGTGGTGAAAGCCAACGTTCTCCAATTGAGAGTCACAACACTGAGGAAATTCACAATTTGCAAGCACCTGTTCTGACCTGGTTCAAAAGTTTCAAATGTACAATTTTAACCAGAAAACTTGAATAGTTGAATCCTTGAATAAGGGAATAACTGCCAATTTTCTGTAAGTAACAATTTCTTTTTCCTCTTTAAATAAACATAACAAATAATAGTTTATAGGCACCGACATTATATCTCTAACTGTTCCTAACCTCTATGATAGCAACCAGTGAACAACACTATAATAAGACAAAAACAGTGGGCAAATACATGCTTGTTGATCCCATTCTTGACTCTAAAGCAATGAAGTCAAGTCTTGCAAGAAAGACATGGAACTGAGAATTCTTGTTGTGGTTTAATTCACATGAGCTTTATTTCATATGTAACGGATTCAGTAAAGGTAAGTATATTGTTAATTATTCTCAATTTTTTGTAGCATACATGCGTGCTTACCTACACACACACCCACACACACTTAATAACAATGAAAGTCTTTTTTGTTTTTATTTTCAAGTATGTGTATTTCTTTTATTATATTATTTTAAATTACTTAACAATAACTTTACTTTTTTAATTTTATTTATGGACACAAAGTCTACTCAATTTCAAGAATAAAATATAATGATTTTTTTATTAAAATTACAAAGACCTCCCTCTTGTTTTGAAAACCTACACTTTAATTCAATTTTTTTCAATTAGATATATTCAATTAAAAATTCTAGGGGAAACTATTTTGTTGGTATCTATAATTTCACTCAATTTATAATTTGGTACTTTTCTTTTTTCCTTTTTACCCCCTGCACTTTTTGAAATTATCCATTCTCAGAATTTTAATTGAAAATGCTAATTCATCTTAATTAGTTATTCTATGTGTAATGCGCGGGGTTTGAGTCTAGACATGTAAATACAATATCCAATCATTCCACCACTCTTTCATCCATTAATGTTTGAAATTGTTGAAAATTCGAATAATATGTATGGTTCATTATCATTGAAAATAACTGAACTCTCTGCAGTCTTTAATTTTGTAACCTATAATCAAATATCCTGATACAAGACATATTTTAAATTAACTCTTAATGAATAAAATATTATTATGTTAAAAATTTTATTTCATCTGCTGTATGGTTTTTTTTCACCAACTTTAACATAAATGTTTGACATTTTATTTTTACAATTAATTTTGCAATTTAATTTGATTAGTACCCATGCAACGTGCGGGATTAAAGTCTAGTTAATTCTAAAACGTTGAGAGAAAAATGAAAACGCACGAGTGTTTTTGAAATTTGAAGGTCAACGCAAGTCCCCTGTTTTCAGTCTCCCTCTTTTGCCAAGCTTTGGATCAGCAACTCCAATGGCTTCCCGCACCTCCTCAGAAAGTGAACCAGAGCTCTATGCTTGTGCTCTTCCATGGCTACCAGATGCTTCTTCATACGGTGGAATGTGACAAACGATACCGTTTCATATATACAGTGCTTCTTCCATTTCTGAATTTCCAGTGATGAAGATTCCTGGCTCTTAAGCTTCTCGTTTATTTTGAACAACCGACTGATGATTTGTTTCAAATTCCATGCACATGTACGTGTTTGATAGCACAGTTTCTCTTTCTTCTTTTAAGCTCTTGAGATGTGTTTATAGTGACCTCATGCATGTGAAGAATACGAAACTAAACTTACATTGTACTCTTGAAGAAAATTATTAATTTAATGCAATCATGATATCATGATTCATTAATCTACTTTACGTCCTAAAATTCCTTTCGTGATGTTGTTCGTTAATTAATTGGATTATTAGCCTATTAGCTGTTCTCTTTGTTGTAAGATGAAGATAAGAATAAGTTTACCCACCAACAGGCCATATTTAGTATTTCATATACCAACTTTTTTCATTTTATACTGTGACATTCAGAACCTGAGAGAGCTACAGTTGCCTGGTGCTTTAGTATTATTGTAAAATAATGACAGTTAAATTCCAAAACTTTGAATTAATAACAGTTAAATTCCTGCCAAAATTTTCTGAAAATGAATCTTAAACATCAATTCAAATAATTACAAATTAAAATTTATATTATAATTTAAGAATTACAATTGATACTTGAACACTAATTTGTAATTGAAATTCCTAAATTTATAATTATCTAGATCGATATTTTTAATTAAATTTTTTTAAAAAATTATTAGGGATTTAACTGTAATTAATTCAGTATATTCAAACCAAACTATCATTCTCCCTATCGATTTTGGTATGAAATCAAAAAGATGAATGTCGATGTTTTATCATTATAGTTTTACTCCCAAACAACACAAAAATAAAAATAAATAAATAAATAGTGAACGGTGAAGTCTCAATCAACCAGAAATTAACATCAAGGTAAATTGTTCAGCCGGCAATTCAGAATTTAACTTGATCCTTATTGACTTCCAGAAATGTACATCAGCACTGGAAACCAATTACAAAAGAAATCATGACAAATATGTAATCCCAAAAATCAACACCATGGATCCAAAGGAAATAGGAACCACAGTTCCTTATGATGTGAAAGGGAATAGTATTGCTCTGCGTCCAATCATAGCATCACCGGTCATTACTCTGATGGCTACCGGAGATGGGACATTTGGACTTAAAAACCAGTAGAAGAGTATGGTTAATTATAAGGTCATCAGATTTCCACAAGCAACTAATGTGAAGCCTCAGTCCACAACAAATTTTCACATCAATGTAAATTGTTCATTCATCTGGCAACTCCAAATTTAACATAAGTCTCATCGACTTCTAGAAGCATATTTGAAATAGACACTATACTGAGAAAGGAAAGAACAAAAAAAATTTCCAGACAAATATGTAATCCTAGATATCAACACCGTGGATCCAAAGAAAATAGGAACCACAGTTACTAACAGGATATGAAATGGAATGATCTTATTCTACGTCCAATCATAGCATCACCGGTCATTACGCTAATGGCTACCGGAGATGGGACATTTGGACTTACCTTGAGAACCAATAGATGAGTAGAGTACGGTTAACCAGGGTACACTCAAATCACACACAACATTGATCAAGCAAAAAAAACGCACAACAACAACAACAAATAAGGAAAACCCGAAAAATCCTGTTTCAAATCACATTTCACACTCATAGCAAGTCACCAAGGCCACAATTATCTCTAATGTTGTCATGCCCCACAATGCCATTGTAAGGCGAGGTAATAAACCAAGTTAAGGGTTGAGGTTAGAGGATAAGAAATTGTTTACTTTTCAATTTTTTGGCTATAGAAGGATGAGAAAGTTGAAACTCAATGGGAAATCACTGCTTTTTCGAGCGTCAGATGGCACTTCCTATCAATTGGGAATATCTTCCTCATAGGGTTTGCTTCTTTTCATCAGAAAACCTGAAATGCTGAACCACATCATACAAAATACAACTATGGGCACTTTTCACTAATTCATGTAATAAACTTGCACAAGAACAACAAAGTCAAAAACAGTTTACAATGGGTCCGTGTAACAGATTTGGAGAGGAAACAGAGCAAAGTGGGGAAATTATTATTCCTTTCTCACATGAAATCCGCTCTAATAATATTAAAGATGCTGTCATAATGATCAATCCAAATAACCATGCACCATTTTTTAACTTCATCTTATCATTATCATCAAACTACCTTTCTTCTATCTTCTTTCATTCCTTCCCGTTTTTCAAAAAACTATTTTCCTGCTTTTTTTTTCTCATCTCTCTCAAACTTCTTGCTGTATTATATTTATACCATTGTAGTAATCTTCTCCTTGCTATATTACACTAATCTTCTGTCTATGAAGTGTGGAAAACAACAATTGGTTTTTCCACCTTCTATTATTATCATCTTCTTTCTTCTCTGCTTTAATTTTTTTCCTTATTTCTTTAATCTTGTTGCTACATTATAATCTACCATACCAATACTCTCTCCCTCTCAACCCCCTCAATTTTTTTAAATTTTTCAATAAAAAGAATATTTGTTTTCCTAAACAGATTAACCTTGCACAAGAGTGGCAGCTTGTTCCCGGCAGTCCATGCTTCCTCTTTCGAGATCTCACACCATGGCATCAGTCCCCTCTTCGAGACAACATGATCTTTTGCTGCGAACTTCTCACACAACCACCATTGTTGCTCTCAGTTATATTTTTCAATGGGTGATTCCTCTTGGACCATCAAACACCTGAGCTATTAAAATAGATCTCTGTTATACTCGAGCATGATAAAAATTGGCTTCTTCATCCTATAGCAGAAGATGATTTGCTCACACGTGCCAGAACTAGGAGATCAGGATGCGTAGGACCGTTGAAGGTATATCTATTTCACAGTTCTGCCAATCTAAGGCCTTGGTTGACAAGGATCAGAACAAGCTTGCTAGAGCAGTGGCTCAAATATAATGTTAGAGAGATTTAGAGAGGAAACAGAGTAAAGCCAATAAATTATGATATCTTTCTCGTCTAAAATTTAGAGTACACTAGGCCTTTCTTCTTAATAACAAGTACATTAATGTTCCACGGACATTGCTCTCTTATCAATTGACTAGTGTGGATAACCATGGGTAGTGAGTGACCCAAACAATATTCTCATATGTTTATACAAGTCCAAAAGGCTGCAAAAACATGCAAGAGAAATGAACTCAGCTTTGCACAGAATGGCCCCCTATATTTCACCATTCACTCATCGTAACAAATCCATCACTGTTATCTTCTCAAATAACCATTAAAACGTGCCCAGCGAACCCACATCTTCTAGACTTTTGTTGGATGAAATCGAAAGAAACATCAGGGCTCTTTGAATATTAAAATTTAAAAACGGAAATTTGAAATTGAATGTGGGTAAGATTCTTGGGGGGAAATTATTTAAATATCAGCAGGGGACTTAGCCGAAGAATTCCTTCCCCACGTTACTCAAATTAAACGAAGCATACCCTATGAGAATTTCAGGCATAGATGAGTAACACTCAATCCCCTCAAAGTGCTGAACCAAATCATCAATCAACCACAGGGAAACAGAATACTCTTGCTGTCGAAGGTGAAATTCGAGCGCATCTCCAGGTTTCAAAATGAGATTTCATCCTAAACTATCCGATTATCGAATTGATTTCTCAAAATAAATCAGAACAACATGAGATGAATTGAAATTCAGAATAAAATTTTCATTACAAAAAACAACGGAATATCATAGTACTCGGATAAATTTCGTCTATGGAGGAACCAAGAGAGCGGGCTAAGAAATGACCTGTTCGAGCTGCTTCGACCTTCCCTCGTCTCGTGGGAAGCCAGAAAGGGGGAGGATTTGTTTGGGGCCGATCGCTCAGTTTACTAAATTTTTTTAGCAATTTTTTTTTTTTACAACATTTATTTTACAATTTTGTCAGAATTGAATTGAATTAAATTTATAAAAAACACAACCTTTAATTCTTGCAATTTCACTCAGTTTTATTTGTAGTTTTTATAATTTTTTTAGTATTTTTAATACCTATAATTTCAATTTTTTTTAAGATTCTTATAATTTTTATTTTTCAATAATTATAAGGACTAAAATAAAATTCAATAAAATTATAGGGGTTAAAAATTATAGTTTTTTTTAAATTTAAAAGAGTTTAAGCAAAACACAACTCCAAAATTGATTATTAATTTGGTTTTTCAAATGTAATTTTTATTGATTTGATTATTAGTGTTTGCATCAAATATTGATTTGATCCTTATTATATAAGGAGAAAGTAAGATTGTTAAAATATATCAACAAAAATTACAAAATATTAGTGATAATTATATAGATTAATATAAGAAATAATTTTAACAAATATACATTGACCACACTTATTTAAATTCAAAGTTTATAAATTTTTTAAATTACATTATAATTTAGGATACTGATTTGATATTAAATTTTTAATAAAAATAATAAAATTATCTCTCATTTAAATGAATATCAAAACTTTTCTATTTGACACATTTATTTTTTCACTTCACTTATTAATTTACTTACGAAAAAGTTGTCAATGTTTGAAGAAAAAAATGATAATATTATTAATATATTAAATTCTAACACCATGGATTGGTTATCACATAAGTAATGAAAAAAAAAAATTGAGCAGAAAACTAAATACAATATATGAAATCATTGGACCACATTTCCAAACCTTCATTCAAATTTAGTTTACAGCAAACTAGTTTGAGAGTCTATTTCTAACATTTTGCTTTTTCTATTTTTCAACAAGTGGTATCACAAACTTAACGGAGTGAGTATTCTATTGGAATTTAATTCTTTGTTTGATAAAACTGTTCTGTTAGGAGTTGGTCAATCAATTCATATTTGAAGAAGGGTTTAACATTAAGTATTGACTAATAATATGTCATCAACATACATGAAAAACTAAAAAAAAAGAAAAAATTGACAAAAGTGAATGATGAGAGAATAAAAAACCACAAATCAAAGATAAAAAATTTTATCTCATGAAATTCTCCTAGTCCGTATTATTTATATATTTTAGAATTAAGAATGAGAATTTTTTTGGCCCTTGAGAATGAGAAATTAGAAAACTAAAGTAAAACTAGCTATTTACATTCTACCAACAAAGAAAAAAAAAAAAAAACAGCCTTCTAAATTAAAGAGGTGGCGTTTGAGATGCAATGGCTGGTGACACGTGGTATAATCCGGGTGGATGTATACGATACCTACGCTCTTTTGCTCAGTCTGTCTCTACTCATAGGTGGTGGTTTGGACTAGTTGGTAATTTAAGTAAATTGGATGGACTATTCTGAACCTGTGAAAAAAATTTAGAATCAAGCTTAAAAAATAATATTTTTCTTTCAATGTTCAGGCTAAATTCTGTCGAATTTAAATTTACCTCAAATACCTAAATAAAAAATAATATTTTTTAAAATATATATATAAAATATAATAAATATTAATTAATTTTTAAAATTTTTTATAATTTAATATTAAAATATCATATATTTAAGTACATCAGCATTATTATAGTTATTTTTAAAAAAATTAAAATTATTTATATTTTCATATTTTTATTATTTTTAATTAATAAAATATCTCATATTTAAAGTTAAAATAATATTTTATGCATAATAAAATTATTTAAAAATCAAAATTAATTCAAAAATATAAAAATATTTTTAAAAAGTTCTAAATATTTAGAACTGCCCAAATAATCCTATGGCCTAAAGATATTAGGATTAAACTTAATTATATAAACTTTTTAGATAAGATAAAATATTTTAAGTCTGAGCTGAATAAATTTAATCCGCCTAAATTACTAAAGCTTAGACTCCCCTAGGTTGCCCGTTGTTTTCACGTAGGATTGCCTTCATGGCCTAAGAATTTGCATTGAAATATTTCATGCGGTCAGTGTTGGACAATTCGTACTTGGTAGTTTTGTACACTTTCTTTCTTTCTTTCTTTCTTTTTTATGCTTACCCATCTGGCATCCTAGGCAGACTATCTTTTAGGTACAATAACATTTCAGACTAATTTAGATTTGCCCATGGTCAGGCATCTCGAAGGATAGGAGAACTGGCCAAAGGACATTTTTCCATACTCAAACAAGAATGGAATTCCTAACGCTTGGTTAAAGGAGTATGAGTCCATATCACTCAACCACATGCCCTTAGTTAGTTTTGTGCATTTTTGATGCTTGTTAAATATATGCCTTGCTTGTGCTTATCTTTTCACATATATCATTTCTGTGTATTCATGGAATTTGTATCTGAAGATAATTTTTTAGATGGATGCTTCTTATCAAGACCTAATATGGATGGAAGTTTTATCTTGTTAAATTTATAATGACAGTGTATTTGTTAAATCTTTATACATATATATATATATATATATATAATTTCTATTGCGGGTAACTTTGGTTTCTCCTTCTATGTGTTTCTCCTTCAGATCCGTGGTTATGGTTTGCTTGTTTGGCAATTCCTTTTATTTAATGCGTTCCTAAAATGGGAAAGGAATTATAATTAGCAAGGGGCAGTGGTACTGTTTGGTGATCAATAATTGAATAAATTAATACTCTTCTTAGAAAATGTAGCCGTGGAGAAAGGAGTTCGCGAATCAGCAAGTGTTTGGTTAACTTGATTGTGTTTTTATAGTGACAGCAGCCATTTTTAATTACTGATTATTTAAATTAAGCTATGATTTGGGGGGAAAACTTAGTTTATATACATACTAATTTTAAGAAGCCCGTTTATTTACAACATCTTTACAAACTGAGCTGCATTACTCATATCAGCTTATATTCAATTTGATAGGTGATTTTCACTGCTGGGTGGCAATATATTGCATAATCTTAAGTAGCCACTGGATTTTGCAGCTAATTGAATGTGCTTATTACTTTTTCTTTTTTTTCCTTTTTTGCGAGATTTTGTGGCTTTTTGGTTTTGGGAAAATTACTGAAAAGTTCGGCACATAAATTTCAATTACGGTAAAATTTCATAAAATGTCTCCAATTCTATACAATTATAATTTGGTGAAGGAAAACCCATACCCAAATTATCATTTTCCTTTATCAAGTGGTTATTTTTCTTTACCAAGTTATAACTGTACAGAATTTAAGATTTGAAATTATTTTGTACATTTTATGAAATTTTTTAATAATTGAAATTCTTATAAGAGATGTTGGGGTGATATTTCCCTTCGTTTTTCTAATTCGTAATTCCTAGGAACAATGCGTATCACATTTATAATTTCCACTTTTGGATTGGGAGTTACACTAGAGAAATCGATGTTAATTTACGTGTCTTGATCTGGGAGCTATTCATTTCTTTCTTGTCAATTGTCTCCTTTCAATTTTCATCTAATTTTTTGTCCATTTTAAATTTAGGTAACTATATATTTAATAATTTAAAAAATTAAAATTAAAATTGGGTAAAATAATTTTTTTTCCTGTAATCGAATAAAAGAATTTACTTTTGCACAGCGAGACAAGAGGAGAAAGCATGCTCTGTTTTGCTCTTCAGAAACAGAGCATGATGATCGTTTTGGGCCACACACATGATTCTCCTGGGACCTTCGTGGGATGCAGCTTCAAGGAAGTCCAGTGTTTTGTGCTGCAACTTTTTAATAGTTGTTTTTGTCTTCTATGGCTAGTTTTGTCGCCTATGTTTGCTGCCACTGTCTTCCTCTGCTTCTTTATGAGTAATGCAGATGGTTGTCAAATTAATCTGAAGCTGTTTTTGCTTCTTTCAAATCCTACGAGATCCCTTTCACTGAACCGATTGTCAATTGTCGGTTTCTTAATAATCAGTTCAGTCATCCTTTACTCACTGGTCTTACGACCTTTTTCTATGCGAGGTTTCAAAACTATCATCTGCATGATTTCATCTTCGGCAACGGGGATTTGGTTAGCATCCATGGATGTCATTTCTGTTCTGCACTTTGGTCTTTCGTTTGTTTGTGTTTTTCTGCATTTGGGGCTTTTGGTGTTGGCACTAAAAGCCCATGTCTTTTTCTTTTTTTTGGGGAAACCATGTTATAATCGTCTTCTTGCAGATATGAATTGACTCAGTTCGAAAAAAAAAAAAAAAGAATTTACAATTGCATTTTCATTTAACCAGTAATATATAGTAAAAATGTATAAATAATATGTATATAGATATATTAACTTTTTAAAAAAATATGCTTACAGGTTATTATAGTTTTATTTAATTTTAAATTAATTTTTATAAGTTATTTTGTTTTAATTAAGTCTTTATAATTTCATCTATTATATAGATTCACTCTTGAAGGTTAAAATTAATAATAAATTATTAAATTTTACAAACAAAAAATACTCTTAAAATTTGCAAAAAAATCATTTAATACTTTTAGCCAAAATAAAAAAATATTTGATTTAATTCACTGTTTTTATTTTTATTATAATTTTTTATAAAAGTTCTACATGTATTAAAAATATTTAGAAGACAGTCTAATTATAGAAATTTTAAATTATAAAAATTATGTAATTAATTTAAAAGTCATATAATAATTGAAAAATTTAATTGGTTAAACTACAAGGGTTCAATTAAAATAAAATAAACTATAGGAACTTTATTTAAAATTGATTAAAACTGTAAGGACTTACAAATATATTTTCTCTAACTTTTATTGTATATAAATATTTGTCTAAAAGCCCATGTTGTTATAATCGTTTTCTTGTATGTATGAATTCACTAAGTTCAAAATAAAAATAAAAAAGTTTACAAATATATTTTTATTTAATCAGTAATATATATTAAAAAATATATAAATAATATGTTAAAATATAAATTAATTTTTATTATATACAAA